GGGGGGGGGGGGGGGGGGCGGCCGGTGACCTGACCGCTCCGGCCGGGGCCGAGGCGACTTAATTCCCAGCTGAACAACTCGCAGTGGACTGTAGACGTTCACTGTACAAGCGTACTTTGAGACGTTGGGAAGAGTTTTCATCATTGACGAGCATCCGCTGTGGGAAGTCTGCAGCTCCACATGTCATCGTTTCTCTGATTATTTCTGCACTCGTGCACTCAACTTCTTGCTACGGGTGTGCTCCGAGTGTCTCCGTATGGATCTTCGGATAGACTTGTGTTGATGGTTGTGTCTACTGGGACGGAACACACCGTCACACACTCTCTTTACTTCTCGGGCTACTGTATCTAGCTGCTTTGGTCTGTCTCGTCTCTGTCTGTCTTTGTCTGCATCTGTGCGGGATGTTGGCGTGCACGCCAACGACTGCTCTTCAGCTTGTAAGACCATGTGGTCACGTGGGAAGCAAACGTAATATGAAGTGGATGGAGTGATGGACGTGTCACTCTGCGCCTGCAAGCGTAGACACAGTATGATTAGTGTGCCCGGCTTTGTTGGCACATTGTAGCTTAGCTGTACATGGATACATGGTTCCCACGCCATGGAGGCTTGGATGCGCACCTGACACCTGCGAGACCTGCTAGACCAGTGGATCGGGGAGCACTTACCAGATGCACAGGTTGTGCTTCCATGATGCTATGAAATCGAGACACATGCGCGCACAGCTGGGTGTTGTGTCAGATGAGCATATTGACCTCACACATATTGTAAACTTGTATCAAGCAGAGCTTCCGAGCACGTCTAATTACACATGCCGCAGCTTCAGCACTATTCAGCACTTTGAAACGATGCGGCCTTCCAGCACCAAGTCTGCGCCGGCAGTCGCCGAAACGTGAGGGTCTTTGGTCACCCTCTGAGACATCTGAGACACACGGAGCCTTCTTGTTGAGCATCCATGAAGTCTGCAGAGTCATGTCGTTCATGTCCTGCCGCAGAGTGGTCGTGCATGTAGCCGCTTCGCGCATGTGTATTGCTCAGTGGCTGTTTTGCAATTGCGACGTTTTCTGTCAGTTTGTCTTTGTTTGCAGTCATTTGGCAGGCGGCGTTGAGGCGGATGTTCCTCATGCTAAAGGACAGCATAGATGTGCATCACGTACACGTTGACACCTCCATTTTGGCCTGCAGAACTCCGGGCGCTTCTTCGTGATTGCAAACACCGAAGACGAGCAGGTCATTGCCTTCCCGCGTCAAGTCAATAAGATACCTGAGGCAGTTTTCGATGCTCAAGATGTTACGAGCTGTTGCATGACCATCTATGCCACCCTTGACTTTATGCTTCTGCATGGCCTAGTTGTGACGGATTCTGTGCCACGCCGCAGTTTGGATTTCGAGAGCAGCTGGTGCTGGGTTTCGAGCCTGCGGTCTTGAAGAAGGTTGGATGGCAGGCCGTTTCGTCTAGCTTTTTGAAATATTGGCATCATATTTAGGTGCTGTTTGTAAGACCCTGCACAGATACAAGCAGCAAAGCGGGACAACGGAGTCGTCGTCGATGTCTCAGCCGATGCCGCACTCCGCAATTCCACACCCCAGCAGTTTCTCTCTGCAGTCAAGGTCGCATATTTGGCAAAGCGTCGGGTGCCTGCTTCTAAGACTTGTCCCTGCTGGAAATAATTCCCGGCTTGAGGAGATTGCTTGAGCATTTACAATGATATCCGAGCTGAGGACAGGTGCCAAAAAATCGCGAAGGATGACCAAGCGCTGAGCAGTCAAAAAGATGGACAGGCGATGGCCATCACACAGATTTCGGCAGGCTGACCGTCTTCAGCAAAGAGCGATATTCCATCGTTTGCATGCCTGCTGTCTGTCAAGAAGCTGCAATGGTTGCGATGTGACAACACATACGATATTCCATCGGCAACTTCAAGGAGATTTGAACGCTAGAGCTTTCGTGCAAGGATCTCGGTCGTGCTAAGTAACAAATGCATATGTGGCTCCCCTCGATTCCTTGCAGCTTCGAGAGCCGGCAATGCAGCCAACAGGCAGTCGTTCAGCAACGCACAGCACGCCACATCCGCATGTGCAGAGTATTGGAGTCCCTGCCAGGCGAAAGCCGTTTCCACTTGGCTTTTCTAGCTCTGACTTTGCCTCAGCATTCCGGTACATGGAGTTGGCTCAGCTGAGTCTGAGTTGCTACTGCAATCACTGTCCGAGGTTTGCTGGTTGCATTGTCTCTCTCTGTTTGCAAGCAGACTGGCGCAGCGGGTGTCTTCCTTGCATCGTCGCTGCCAGTTACTTATGTACTGATGTGACTGTGAAAGGTCTGCTTGGTATGCTCTCCTATACAGCGAGCTGTTTGTGCTCGCATTTATTCTCGTCGAAGCCCCAGCTTGGATGGACCGTATGTTTGAGAGGAGTCTTCGCCTTTGAAATCACTTGCCACAGGCATGGCTGCAGAAAGCTCTTCATCTCCTGTCACCTCGCAGAGAGGCCTTTGCAACGGGATGGGGCTTCTCAAGTAGGACATTCTACATGTCCAATGAGGGGTATGCCATACAGCCATCACAAGTGACCGGGGACTGCTGCGGACTCCAGTGACCTTGATGCACTGACCATGGTAGACTCTTATACTCCCGGGAGAAAGCGGTGCAAATAGTGGGAAGTGGCTCCGAAGTACCGAACTCAACCCCCTGCCCCGTCGGAGTGTGGTCTGTGACGAGAGCTGAAAACAAGCCAAAAGAAGACCAGCGCGACATAATGCCAACAAAGGAAAGGGCGAGGAGGCGATCTCAGCAAGACAGCGATACGCAGTGATCGAGCAGATGGCAAAGTTGATCAAGCTCGCACAAGCGCCACAGGGAGAAACTAAGAAGCTTGATTTTTGCAACCGCAAAGAATGGGTAGCTTTGGGCTTTGGCTGGAGTTTGGGTCACCTCCCCCCAACCTAACAGGTACATCACACTGTCGAACAAGGGTGCTCGTTGACCGGAGTCGTGTCAAAGAGTCTGAGACTTCACCGTCGCCTCCTGGACAATATCGCAGCCAAGTGTCGTCGGGGATTGCCGAAAGCATGAGGCTCGCAGCTCACCTTGAATAACGGAATTCCCGAGGGCAGGGCCAAAGATGGCGACATTTAGCAGTGCTTCATTCCCCAGACATGCTGCAAGCTGCTTTCCATTTGGTGCTGCTGATGTCTTGCAAATGTACGCAAATCCTGGCAAATCCCATACAACATCCAACGGAAATCCTGCACTGGCTGAGAGCCTCGTATGCTGGTCCGGAAAGCTCTCGACGTTTGTTGATGCTTCCAGGTTTTGGGAAGACTTTTGCGTCAGCCTCGGGAGTCTCCGAGCCCGAGCTCTCGAGCGCTTTACCTGGCGGAATCCAGGACGTGGCGGGTACACCAAGCTGTGGGAATTGCTTCACTCGGTGCCGCAACCGAAAGGGCAAAGTGTGCAGAGGCAGAGCTTGTGAAACTGAGCACGAGCGAGGTCTTCGTGATCCCGGTCTTGTCCTGGTGTCCTGGTGTCCTTGATGCAAACTAACATCCCATCTTCTGTAAACGCGCTCCGAAAGCGAAAATGCCCAGGTTGGTCTTGTCCGCTCTCACGGAGGCACGTACAAGTATCTGCATGCGACTGTAAGGCCCTCGCCTTGAGCTTCCTTAAGGTGGCAGGAAGTGCAATCGACAGCTTTCTGAAGGCAGGTGGCAGGGAGCCGTTTGCTTCGAAAGCACGCTGTCCTCAGGAGACTTCTGAGAAAAAGCGCGCCGGAGAAGAGCTCCTCGTGAGGAGGGGCCCTCTCCGGAGTTGAAAGCCTCTGCTCGCACTTTGCACAGCTCACAGCTGCAGGAAACAGCGTCCTGCTGACGTGCTTCCCGTATTTGTCCTTGCAAGTGCAAGCTGCTACCGACATCTGGCGACTACCTTTGCCAGGTTCGGAGCTGCTGCGCTTGGTACAGACTGTGGCAGCCGACACTCTTGCCATCCCAATCGGAGACTTGCCACTGGCACGATACTGACGGCTTCAGGAACGCAGCGCGAAGTAGTGTGATTATTCCATCTGCAGAGGCGGCTCCTCTCGGTGCCGACTCAGCGACGGTGCAGCGCTCGGGATCGAAGAGTCTCACATGCATGTTGCTGGTCTCTACTAGCTTCCGCAGGCAGTGCGTTTCAGTGTCGCCTTGGAGAAAGAGCTCAGAGCAGGCAATGCAGCAAGCGCTCGAGTCTCTTTTCTAATTGCGGTTGCTCCATGCTGCTCCTGGTCTAGATCTTGCTGGGAAGCGACTGCCGGCGACGCTCGTCTTCGACTTCCCTACCTTGACCGAGATTGCAGAGGGCCGCTCACTCAGACGGCCTCACAAACTTCCCGCATCTTGCCGCACTCCGCTGCATTCAGGCCTTCCAGAACTGCTCGCTGGCAAACCTGCGAAGCCGGTGCATGCACAGCAGGCGAGGCTTGCCTCACGGAAACGGGTTCAATCCCTACCGAGCCAACACCCCGACTCCGTATACTTCCTCAGCCCGACCCAACTGAGCCCTTGGCCACAAGTGCATGCCGTCCGTGGCGTCATGTTTTGACTGGCTGTGTATCGACGATAGGGCGCTGCTTCCGAACAGCTGCCGGACGCTGTGAGCAGGTTTCTTGCTGTGGCAACGATGCAGCCCCCAAGCCAGACTGGAGTGAAGGACTAGAACCACTAGACCATGTTGAACATTTGCAAGCGGGAGGCAAAGGTGGGAAGAAATGCCGGTTCCCGGCCGCTTAAAGCCAGGTTCGGCAAAGACGGAAAGGAGAGCCTCCTGAGCTCCCACCCAGGGTTGGGAAAAGAGAAGAGCTTCTGGAAGCCTTCGAAGCGCGTCCTCCTTTTCGCATGGTGCCAGCACGGTACGTTGACGGTACGTTGGTAGCAGGTTGGGTCCGCGGATCTCCTCATCTCGGCTTTCAGCTGCGAGCTGCCCGGGGCGAGCGACCTGCAGGTGCTGGGCCCATGCAAAGCGGTGCTGGGCCCTGGGGTTCGGGGCATGAGGAGATGTGGCCAAGACTGCAAGCAGAGGCATGGCCTGCAAATCCCCGATATCCTTAGCCTTAGTCTTTGTTTGCCAAAGGTGGATGATGTTCAAGAAGTTCCTATCTGCAGGCAAGGAACCACAGACGGCTTTGAGAGTGGAATTTGCCGCCGTCTTTGGAAGGTGGGATTGGGCTGATGCCGAGATCCCTGGTGAGAAGCTCGGGTTGTTTGGTTGGGAAGTGCCTATGTTCGACTCCGTCGGAGGAGCTCGCCATGGTAGTTTTCTCGAAGGGGCAGACCTTTTCGACGCATCCTTCTTTGGTGCCTGGCCAAGTGCTCTCACATGATTTGGGCTCAGTCCGCGTCCTGTCTCCCTTTTCCGAGGCCTTCAGTCAGCGGAAGCACAGGCCGGCGGACTCTCCGTTTCTAAATGCAAGTTCTTCTTTGACGACATCGTGTACTCGTATAGCTTGATCTGCCCATTTCGGGAAGGGTTGAAGAACGAGTATGCGGAAGTTCTCTTGAATAAGCCGCTTTGTCTTCCTCACACAGCGTTGTTCGACGAGTTTGCTGTTTGCTACTTCGGTCACCTGGATGCAGTGACAGAGTCGTCGCGGCTTAGCGCACGGCGAAAGATCATGGTACATGTAGTGAAATGTACCACCATGAAGGCGATGCACATTGACAAATTTAAGCTGCCGAACTTCCAATGAGTGCACTTGCCACATGGCCGACCCACTTTCTGCTTGGCGACTCGCCCCGTGAAGCAGCCCTCTGTGCCACAGCAGAAAAACTTGTCAGGTTTTCGCCAGCACAAGCCAGCACAAGGATCCATTACGCGCACTAGACAATGCGATGACAGTAGCCACGAGGGCCCCAAGGTAGCTTTTCAGAAAACTTCCCGAACAATTGGCGTACAGTCTGTATACGTTGCAGTGCAAATTTTCGAGGGAGTGCAATAGCCCAAAGTCACTAAAAGCAGTGAGGCCATGGACCCGCAGCAGCGATTGTTGCATGCAGCTCAGCTGGCGGCAACATGGGCGAAGGAGAGAACAAATATGTTCATCTCCTTAGGCTGGGCACAACTTACAGAGCGCTGGCCCAGTCTGGACATGACAAGGTAGCGGAGATTTCGAACCTTCGTGGCCTTCGTGTGCATCGAAAGTCGTTTGAGCAGGGAACACTGCTTGGAGCCCCGCACGGAGTTTTTGCCGCAGTAAGCAACCAGGAGAGGGATCATGCAGTCACTTGTGGAACATATGCAGATGCAAGATCGTACGAGGACTGGTACAGCTGGTCGTTCGGCGAGGAGCGCGCGACTAGCGCATTTACAGGCCATATGGAGACTTTAGATATTCTTGAAGGTCTCAACATCGCTGGTATGGATGCAGGTACTGGGGTCGCTGCGGCTTTGGCTTCAAATCGAATATCGTTCTCGCTGGGGCTTCGCGGGCCCAGCATGACGATCGACACTGCGTGTGCCCCGTCCCCGTGTGTTTGGATGTTCTGCAAGACCAGTCACTTGGGAAAAGGCACCGCAGTTGAGGTCAGCAGCAGCCCTTTCGCCTAACAAGTAGAAATCGGGCACCGGGCCCTGGGGCACGAGCACTGCACCCGTCCCGTTTAAACGGATAGAATAGAAAAGGTTCTTCAAAGAAGCCTTCTCTGCCCTCCGCAGGTTCATCGTCGCTGACAGCTCTGTCAGCAGCATCGGCGCAGCTGCAGCGTCCAGCTGCTTCAGGCAGTGTCAGTCA